ACAAAATGTTTTGTTTTTACATTAAAATTATAATTAATTAATTAATAATATAGTATAATAATTATTTTATATTTAAAAATAAAAAATAAAAAAAAATTCATTTTTTTCCAAATTAATTGATTTTTTTTTTTTTTTGCTAAATATTTATAATCAAATATAATAAAATTTCTTAAGAGTAAATTAAAATTAAAAGAAAAGTAAAAATAAAATAACATTAAAAATATAAAATGAAAATAAAATAAAAAAAAAAACAATTTATTTAATTAAAATCTAAAAAAAAAAAATTTATATTTTTTTTTATAATTAATATAAAATTTAATTTAATATAGAAAAATAATATAGAAAAATATATTGTGTATATGTGAAGGTTTATTTGAGGAAGTAAAACACAAAATACAATGAACTAATATTTTTTTTTTCTTTAATTAATTTTAATTAATATTTATTATTGTATTTTATTATTAACTATTTATTAATTATTTTCATATTGTTTCTGTGATATACAAAATAATATTTTTCGAAATTTGAAAATGAAAATTGTTAAAATTTAATTTGAAAATCTCTAATTAATTATTTACATAAAATGAAATACTTTTTGTTTTATAATACAATTAAAATTTGTAAATAATGGAAAATATTTGTTATACATCTTGTCCATAATAATTTAATCGAATTACGTTCATGTTTCTTATTTCGGTATTATAACGAATTACGTTCATGTTTCTGTATTATTTCGGTATTATAATTTCATTTCTGTTCGTTTCTTGTATTTATATTAAAAATATTATTTTAATAAACAAGTTTAATTTTTTAAGTCTAATATTGAAAAATTATTAAGAAACAAAAATAATACCAAACAAAAAAATTTGAAATAATTTTATTGTACTCTATCCCAATAAAAGAAATGCAATTCAAACATGTTGTTTTTAATATGAAATTGATTTCAAACATTCATTTCATACAAATAATGTATGTTGTTGTATTTAAATGAAATTCTAAATTAAGACAATAAAATTCAATTTAATATCAAAAAAAAAAAATTTTTTTTGTTCCTTTTCAAACATTTCACTTGATATAATTGATTAGAGATACTGCTGCGGCAATACATGCAATTAAACAATTCATACATTATAAGGTATGAAATCAAACCTTTTTGGTTATGTTTTTTTATAACCCTTGTATTAATTCTCATAACATTATACATACAAGAAAGGAAATATTGGGTCAATGTAATTCGATTGTTTCAGTTTGTGAAAAAATTACAAATTGTTTGATTGTTTGATTCGATGCAATCATACAGTTTGCATGTGTGCGCCTTTTTTGTTTTAAACTATTATACATAAATAAGCAATCAAACAATTGAAAAATTAAAAAATGAATGCATTTTTCATTTTATTTAAAATTTTAACTAATTTTATTTAGAATTTTAATTAAATTAATAAAGTTTAAAAAAAAATTTTTATAATAAAAAAATAATACATATTTCTTTTATATTTTGTATAACAATAAAAATAATTAATTAAAATAGTTTTAATATTTTAAAAATATTACAATATGACATGTATAATAAATATATATGTATATATAATGTATAATAGTTATAGAATATTACAAAATATTTTAAATTTTAAATTAATTTTTTTTTCTTATTTTATTGTTTTTCTGTTTTTTTTTTTGTTTTTGTTATATTTTATAATTTTAAAATTAGATGAATTTCGTTTTTTTGTTTTTTTTATATACAGAGGTATTTATTCATTGTATTTTTTGTTATTTTTTTCTCAAATTTTCAATTTTAAAATTTTCTTTTTAAAAAATTTATATGTATGTAGGTATATTAATGTAATTATATATAAATATACACTAAATATATAAGACAATCTAACTATTTTTTTTTTTATTAATTATACTTGGACAATTTTAATTCTCTTTTCTTTTCTTATTATGATTTTTGTTTTTTTTTTTTTTTGTTTCTATATTTAAATGAAAATTATTTATTGTATTTATTTGTGTATATAGGTAATATTTTAATGTAGGTATGTTTAGTTTTCAAATAAATTAATTAAAAAAAAAACAGAAACAGAAATAGAAACAAAATCTATTATGAGTTAAAAATGAGAGTTGTTTTGAAATTAATTTTAAATTGATCAGTTCTCTCTTTTTTTTTTTGCTTCTCTATATTTTTTTAACTGAATATGGAGTAAAATCAATTGCAATATTTATTTTCGACTAACCCAATTATTCATTTCATTTTGAGAACATTATGAGTTTACTGAGAAGAGAAGTAGGCAGCCTCTGCCTATCTGAATTGAAAATTTAAATTCTCACTTTTTTTTTCTCAACATACAAATAGTAAGAGAGAGAGAGAGACTTTAAAGTTCTTAATATTATACTTAAAACCAGAGTTGCAATTCATAAATAATAATTAATGGGCAACACTGCTTACAATGCTTTCAACTTAATTATTTGTACCTCATTTTTTTTTCCTCTCTCTCTTTTTATTTACTTCTATAAATCAGAATATTCTGAATTGAATTTAATTCTTAAATTCTTTACTCAAAATATCAAACTGAACTTATGTATGTCAACCTTCAAAAACAAAATTAATCATAATTAAATATTGTATGCATTTAAAAAAAAAAAAACAACGAGATTTTACGAAATAAATACGAAAAAGTTCTTCTCATTTGATAACCATCCACTTTCTTATCACATGGTTGAGTAAAATATACCGGAATACGCGATCACATACTAATTTTAAAAATACATATATCGATTGTCACTCATGTGATTTCCAAAAACTTTCGTTAAAATGTTAAAATTTAAGTAAAATGAAATTCGACATTTCGTTCAAAAAAACTTTGAATTCTTTATTATAGAAAAATTCGGATTAAAATTTCGGACAATATAGAAATTTCGGATTAAGTACAATTTCACTAATGAAACAAATTTTATTGAGTAAAAAAATTAAATGCAATAGTGAGGTTATTAAAAAAAAAAGTATTGCCGTTTTTTGAAATATAAAATGTAGTTAGAAAAACAAAAATTAATTATGTGGAAAACTAGTTATGAAATTTTTATGTGTGTTTCTTTGTTCTATTTGTTTTGTTTTTTTAATTAATTAATTTTTTTTTTAAATGTAGTTTTGTTAAAAATTACTTTGTTTGTTTGTTTGTTTGTATATTATGTATGTATGTATTGGTGAAAAGGTGGTTTTTTTTTTGTAGCTACTACATTTATAAATAGTAAGAAATTTTTTGTTTTCTTTTTAATAGTTTATAGAAAAAAAAAATCTAATTATATTGACTATTGACTTTGATTTTAAAAAAAAGAAAAATTATTATTAATTTTAAAATTAAATATTCTTTATTAAAATTTATTTAAATGAATATTTGAATTTTAAATTTAATTGAAATTTTTCTTTTTTGTTTGTATTTTTCGGGGAGAGGGGATTTATTGTTTGTTTGTTTGTTTTATTGTTTATAAATTTTTATTTCCTAAATACTGATTTACTATTGTTTTTTTTTTTTGTTTTTAAGAATAAATTTATTTTTTTTTTTGTTTTTTGTTATTTTTTTTTCCTATTTATTTTTATTTCATTTAATATTTTTTTTTTTTTTTGTTGCATATTTTTTTTTTTGCTTCAACTTTTTTTTTTTATTTGTTTTTGTAGAAAAATGTGAATGCTAGACAAAAATCACATATACTATACTTTGATGAGCGCTCTCTCAAGACTTGTTTTTAAATTTTAAACTTTAAATTTAAAAAAAAAAAAAAAAAAATTTTTTTTTTTTTTGGATTTTTTTTAATTATTGTTTTTTTTTATATATAAAAATATAACTACTATTATTATTTATAGAAAAAAAAACATTATTGTTTTTTTTAATTTTTAATTTTTTTTTTTATAATTATACAATAGAACTAAAATTTATAAGAAAAACATAATTAAATAATTATTATAATTTTAACTATAAATAATTAATTTTAATTTTAATTAATTATTTAATTGGTTTACTAAAACAAAAAAATAAAAAAAAATTATTTAAAAACAAACAAAAGAACATGAAAAATTCTTAATTTATAATTTTTATTAATTTTATATTTTTAGACTTTTTTTTGCAATTTAATCAAATTTATTTTTTGTTTTAAATTTAATATTATTAAATTTTTTTTTTTAATTTTTTTTTGTTGCATTATGCATACATACTAATAATATTGTAAAAAGTATTTTTTTTTTTGAATCCCTTAATTTTAAATTTAAAAAATTTTTTTTTTTAAATTGAAATTCCAGTATTGAAAATAAATTTTCTTATTGGAATTGACTTTTTCCTTTCTGTGTTTATTTAATTTATTTTTTAATTATAATTTAATATAATATAAATAATTTCATTTCATAATAAAGAGTGATTTTTGAATCAATTGTAATTATTAATTGATAATTTTTAATTTTATTATTAAAAATATTTCGAATATTTTAAAAATTTTTAAAATTTAAATTAAAAAATTTTTGATTTTAATTTTTTATTTATATTGAATAAACAATAAAGTGAATTATAAAATTTTATTAAAAATATTAATTATGCAATTTACAAATTAATCAAATATTGTTGAAAATATGAAAATTGTTATACAAAATAATATTAAAAATTAATTGTAATTATAATATTTTAATATTATTATTTTTTTTTTTTTTAAATTAATTCTCAATAATTTTATTTTAGTAAATTTACGATATTAAAAAAATTTAATATCGTAAATTTTTTTAATAATTAATCATTATTAATTTAATGAATAATAATTGTTTGTTTAATAAATATATCAAAAAAATTAATAAATCACTCAATAATGAAATGAATAAAATAAATATTATATAAAAATTATATACTCAATAAAATATTTTCCATTAATATATTATTTGGAAATTTTTTTTTTTAATAAATTTTCCAAATTATCAAAATAAAAAAAATTATATAATAATAATATAAAATAAATATTTTATATAATATATAATTATATTTTTAATTTAAAAATCCAAAAGGTTCTAATTCCAATTGATTTGTTGAATTTGTTATAACTGGAAAATCACTATAATCATTATAATCATATTTAAGATATTGTATATCAGTTAATGTATTTGATAATGGTAAATGTATACCATTTATAATATTATTATTATTACTATTATTATTACTATTATTACTATTATAATTATTATTATTGTTATTATTATTATTATTATTAAATATATTATTATTTGTTGTATCAATATTATTAATATTTAATTTATGTGTTATACCACCTACAAATGTATTGAGATCGGGATCTTTAGTTTGAGTTACACGAAATGTTGTTGTACATCGGCCATTTTGGTAAATGCTGTTATTATTATTATTATTATGATGATTATTATTATTATTATTAATATTAAGATTTTCATTATTATTACTTAAACTATTAGTACTACAATTACTATTTTCATCAGTATTTATAATTAAATCATTTGTATTAATATTATCTAAATTATTACTATCAATAATTGTAATATTATCATTTAATTTATTAGCATAGATTATATTTTGTTTTCTTGTTTCATTGCTATATTTATTGCTGTTATTATTATTCTTAATACTATTATTATTATTATTATTATTAATATTGGTATTGTTATTATTATTATTATGTATTTTAATACTATTGCTATTATTATGTGTTTGATGTTGTTGTTGTTGTTGCTGTTGTTGATGAAGTTTTTCAGATAATTGTGATGATTTTGATTGACCTGTTGTTGTTATAGTTGTTGATGAATTTGTATCTTCAGTTGATATAACAATAATACTTGTTAATGAATCAATATCAAGACCATTTTCTTCATCAATATAATCACTAAGTAATGTTTTTATATTTTGATTATTTTGTATATTATTTATTCTTGTAATATTTGTATTTTGTGAATTTAAATGATTATTACGTTGAAAACCGTTTAAATGTTGAATTCGTTGATTATTTTGTTGTGATTGTTGTTGTTGTTGTTGTTGTTGCTGTTGTTGACGTTGTTGTTGTTGTTGTCGTTGATGATTTTGTTGTAATTGTTCTTGTTGTTGTTGTTGTTGCTGTTGTTGTGTTTGTACATTATTATTTTGTATTAAATTTGATTGATGTACATGATGATGTGTTTGCTGTTGATAATGTAATGTTGAACATTGATTTGTATTACTTATAACAACAGCTTGATTTAAATTTGCATCATTTAATATATTATGTTTACTATCATATTGTGAATATGGTGAATTTGATGTTGTTCTAACAACATCAAATTCAATATTATTTAAATATATATTACTATCGTCATCATCATCAACATCAGTATCCATACTATGATTAAATAATTTAATATCTTGATCATCATTTGTTGAATCGGTGGTAATTAATGATGAATTTGTATCTAATAAATTGGCAGTTGTTGTTGATATACTATTACTATTTATTGTTGTTACTGTATTTGATGTTATTAAGGGTTTTGTATCAAGATAACATAATTCATTTGAATTAAGTAATGATGATGTTGTATTTATTGTATTCGATGTTGATGATAACGGTGATGTATTACATGATGATGTTAATGATGGTGATGTTGTTGAAATTAATTTTGCATGTCCAACACTATCAACTAAACTACCAAATTCTGGTAATGTACCAGGTAATTCCATAATATGTTTTGTATCATCTTCATCAATTGCTGTTAATGGTAATGGTATTTCAACTTCAAGAAAACGTTCAATTATATTTGCATCAAGATCATTTGTTGTACTACCATTTGAACCTAATGTACCATTTAATAATAAACAATCAGCTGGTGGTAATGAATCATCAAATAATTTTGCACTCTCTGGTGAATTTGGTATTTCCATTTTTAAATGTTGCATATATTCAGCACCTAATGGTGTTGTTGTATTTAATGTTATATTATTTAAATTTTTACCTAAACTGAATGGTGATGGTGATGATGTTAATATTGTATTATTATTACTATTACAACCAATGTTAACACTTAAATCTGTATCTGTATCAAAACCATTCATATAATCATCTTCATCAAAACTATTGTATACAATATTATTTGAATGATAATTTTGATTATTATTTGTATCATTTTTATTATTATTTATTGTATTTTGATTGTTATTATTGTTATTACTGTTATTAGTATTATTACTGTTATTACTACTGCTGTTATTATTTCCATTTAATGTTATAATAGTACTGCTTGTACTTAAACTGCTACTACTACTTGGATTACGATTACGACGACGGCTATTTCTACCAGAATTTGATGAATTACTACTTGTATCTGATGATGAATTATTATTTTTAGCTTTTCTTATTTGACTTGCTGATGAATTTTTTAATGATTTCGTAGTACCATTGGCAGTATTATTATTATTATTATTTCTATTATCATTATTATTATTAGTACTATTATTACTGGTCGAATTATTATTATTATTTGAATTGTTGTTACTAGAACCATTCTGTTTCTTTTTTGGACGATATTTATAACCTGGATATTCTTTTGTATGTAATTTACGTAAACGATCTGCTTCAAGTATATATGGTTCACGTTCTTCTTGTGTAAGTGCTTGCCATCTAGCACCCAATTTTTTTGATATTTCAGCATTATGTATATCAGGTGTTTTTTCACATATTTTCTTACGTTCAATTTGTGACCATACCATAAATGCATTCATTGGCCTTTTAATATGACCGGGACTATGCTTTTTTGTCTGTTAAAAATACAAAAAAAAAAAAAAAATAAAGGAAATTATTAATTTAAAAATATTTAATAATAAAATTATCATAAACAAATAATTTATTTTAATATTATCATCGCTTAATATGAAAAGTAAAAATATACGGAAAAATTCTGAATTCAACAAAATTCCTATTCCTTTACAATAAAATTTTACAATTTAAAATAATAACCGCACTTAAATATTAATTTCCTGACTCATTTTAAACTTAATTTTTGAATTTAATGAGATTTTTATTGTTTTATTTTTTAGTCATACACTCGGGTATGTGAAAATACCCTGTTCTCAAACAGTAGCAGCTTTTTTTCAGTTTTGTTTTTTTTTTGCTTTTTTTATACATTCCAACTTTATTGTTTCTCACAGTGTATAGAAACTAAAGTAGCAAATAATATAAGAAAGCAAAAAAATAAATAAATAAAATATTTAAATAAATTTTCTGTTATCAGTGAAAAAATAACAACTAAAACAAAACAAAAACATCAAACAAAAAAACCTCAAAAAAAAAATTGTTTTTTTTTTTATTATTATATTTTTAAGCGACCTTGTAGTATGACTACCCCAATATTGTTTTGCATTAAAAAATTTATACAGGCGAATAAACTGATTCAACGTACATACACGACATTTCTATATACTCGTATTATGTATGTATGAATATTTTAAGTAAATATATGCGAACCGATTACATATAGGGGTTCCTTAAATACATATGATGTAAAGAAAAAAATATTAGGCTCAAAAATGTTAATTGAATGACACATCATTTAAAAATTTTGCATCGTCGTCTGTACTTATGTATTTCCTATATACTTTAATAAATTATTGTATGCATTATCAGACATTGTAATAAATTTATATAGAAGCTTTAAAATAATTTACTTAACACTATGTAATTTTTTATAATAAAAGCGTAAGGGTTAAAATTTTGCTTTAATATTATTTTTGTAGTACAATAAGAAACTTAATAAAAATTTACAGATGAAATCGAAATGAGTAATAAGTAAATTAAAAGAGAGAAAGATAGAGTTTTAAATAGTTCATAGAAAACATGATGAGAGAGAGTCTATATATTTTTCTCTTCTTTTTTCACTCTTAGAAGGAGCATAGGGCTAGGACATGATATCATAGACAGTTATGCCTTAGTTTCATTGCGTCATAGAGTTTTAACTATGTAGGTGATTAGATTAGAGAGAATCTAAAATAATTCAGGGAAAAGGGAACACAGTCGAACAGGCATTGCATTTTTTGATCAAATGCAATTTTTCTAACCAAATAGGAAATGGATAACTGTATAATACGGAAATATGTACAAAAAATTCTGCGCCCCAAAAAGCGTGTTCGTCGTTCAACTGTAATTTGAATGAAGAGAGAAAAAATCTCGTAACGAGTCATTTATTTTCGGTTTTTTGAAATGAGCCGATCTAAAATTGTTGTCACAAAAATATTATATGCATTAGGGGGTGTTACAATAAGTAGGCAAGAATTCCAAAACATTTTATTTTTTTTCCTTTTAGCTTCTTTATTATTGATTATTGATTTTTTATACAAATATTTGTTGTTTAATCTAGTAGCTAGTTGATATTCTAATTTCGATATTTATTTAAATAAAAAATTTTTTATGATTTTTTCAACACTTGCATAAATTTACCTCAATTTTTTTTTTTTGTTTTTTATTATTTCTTATTTTTTTTATACTATTTAATTTTAAAAATTTTTTTAGATCTTCTTGTTTTTTTTTCCAGTGTACTTTAGAAGACTCACACACCAAATATACTTTGGAATTTGAATGACTTAATTTGTTTGGAATTTAAATTGTGTATTTAAAAAACACAAAAAAAAAAAACAATATTATAAACATTTTTATTATTTGTTTTAAAATATTTGTATTTTGTTTTTTAATGTAATCTATACAGAAAAAAAAAAACAAAAACAAATAGAAAAAGGTCATTGCAGAATTAAAGTTATTTTAGTAATTTTGATAATATTATAAAAATATTCCAAAAATAATTTGAATTTTTGTTAAAATTTTTGCATATACGCGTGTGGAGCCCAGCTACACTTTCATTATCAAAAAAAATATAAATACAATTTTATTTATTTTACGATAAAACTTTATTTAATGCCATTTAATTAACATTATTGTATTGTGATATTAGAAATTTGTATATATATGTATATATACAAGTAATTTATATATATAGAAAATTTATTAGGCTAAACTAAAGTCATAAAATTTAATAAGTCAAAAATGTCAAAGTAATAAAAACTTAAATTCGATTTCTGATATTTTTACGTCGTAATATTTGAACACAAAAAAAAAACGTTCTTATTTATTGTTATACAAAATTTATTATGGTTATATAGGTCATAGTAAACTATATAATATTGAAAATTAAATTAAAATTTAAAAAAGAAATTTATATACGTACATACTTTTACTCTATTATGTTACATACATATAGTTCCTTAATAAATTAATTAAGTTACATACATAAATCTCTTAAAAAATTACTGCAAACAATTAAAATTTTCGATTTATATTGTAATAATAACTGTAGTACAAATTTTCTCATATATTATACCCGTAAATAAAACTGTTATACAACATACGTAACTGTTATACACTATCCCCAACTGTTATACAACATAAGTAAGTGTTATACAATATCCATAACTGTTATACAATATCCGTAACTGTTATACAAAATATGTAACTGTTATACAATCGTTTTTTTTTCATTTAACCGTTCCAATTTATATTTAGAGTCTATTTTTAATAAATTTTTTGCGAACTTTGCAGGAATATAATATTATAAAAGCAACATTAAAACATATCTATTCACAAAATTTAACCTACGTTATATATAACAAAAATTATTGAATAATTCTTTTTTTTTTTTGATAAAAATCTATTCCAAACATCCTTCTATTCATTTTACAAATCAAGTAGGTATGCTTTAAATTTGTGTGTCTGTTTCGAAATATTCTTAAAAATATTATTCCAGTTATTTATTAATACAAATTTTCAATAATAATTTCCAAAGACGAATTTGCCAAAAATTTATTCAATGAAATTGAGGCGATATTTGTTTTTCTCTTCTATTTTTGCAAATTTTTAATTTTTGTTTTTTTTTTCGAAAACAATACATTTTATTTGTGTTTTTGATTTTTAATATATTCATTTATTTTATTATGTAGTATGTATACAATAATGAAAAAGCAAATATTTAAAATTTTTAATAAAAATTCATGATAACACAAAAAAAAAAAAATTATTCATGTTTTTATACTTATGGCGTTTTTATTCTCAATGTTAATAGTACTCTGTACGTCTAATATTTTAATTATTATTATACTAAAAATATTATTCCGCTTCCGTTCTTCAAAAAAAAAAAAAAATTTTTTTTAGCATTGTAAATTAAAAATTCTTGAAAAAAAAAAAATATGTACACAAAATGTTGTTTTTCCTTCCTCTTCTTTTTTTGATTTCATCTTTATTTTACTAAAGATGAAATTATTTTTTTAGAAATTTTCTTTGCTTTTCATTTCATTTAATTTTTTTCTCTATATATATTTTGATTTTAGACATTGATTTTTAAATAATATTTTTAAATTTTATCAAAGAAAAATTATTCAATATAAAAATTTTTATATGATTTTATAAATATGGAATATTGTGTGTATTTAATTGAACATTGAAATATTTTTGTATGTAATCATAGTATAAAGTAGTTTAAAATTAAAGGTATTTAGTTTTCAATGAAATATAAATATGTACGTACATTTGAATGTATATATGATATGAATTTTGTAAAATAATTAAAAATTTTATTCACCACACCACGCATGCTTTAAAATTTATTCACCACATCACGTATGTTGCAAAAAACTTTTCACCACACGCATAGAAAAATAACTATAAGCCGTCTTTTGCAGTCCATGTATAGAGCCAATACAATTTTCTTAAAAAAATTTAAAACATATCCGGCAATAAAACTTGGAGTTATAAAATTTGAAATTTTTCAAATGATTCAAATTATGTTACTGCATAAAATTGGCCTAATTATTTTACTGAAATTTTTCTAATACAAAATTTTGAATCGTTAATTTTTCCAAAAAAAATTATTGTATAATAATTTTGGATGCAATTTTAAATTCAATACGAAGCTTGTAAAATGCATCCAGGCATTAAAAATTAGTCGTGATACATAAGTATGTATATATACATATATATACCTACATACATAAATAATATTGTTTCGGAAATAACTATACATATTAAACCAATAGATAGCTAAAATTAATCATAAACACAGCCATTAAAATATGGGCGAGCACATGTACTTGTAATACAAAATTTTGTTAATCACTTCGAAACGAAATGATATTTTGAGGTAATGAATGTTACATGAAATGCAATTTTTATATTACGTATGTACGTACATACATTTATGTATATGCATATTCCTTCCATACAGAAATATCAAATTTCAAATATTCAAAAATTTCATAAAAGAAACAGAAAATGTTCAAAATGCTTTAGGTATTAATAACAGTATTTTGGTTATTTGTATATATATATAGGTATGAGTCAGCTAAGCTCCATGGTCAATGATATGGACATAATATTATTTACCTAAATCACGTTACATACAATGTGTTATATACTTTATTATATAGATATATACATAAAAATTATGAAATTAAAGAGGCAAATGAAAACTAAAAGCAAAAAATATGGTCAAATCATACAAAATTGAAATGAATAATAATGTAATAAGATATCTATTTATGTATGTATGTATTTAATATTTTTGAACATTTTAATGACATTCATATACACATTTACATGTGTTCATGTATACATGAGTTAAAATATAGGGCGGATATATTTTGCATATAAAAAGCAATAATCAAATATTTATTTATAATAAAATAAAGTATGTGTAACACTAGGTAAACTTATAAAATGT